TTTGTACATATATATATATATATATATATATATATATATATATATGCATACGTGAGCGTATGCGTGCTGTTCTATGGGGTGTTCTACTGAATTCGGTGGTTTATATATAAGGAGCGAGGCGGCTGTCGTTGTATATTTACTTTCTTGTTGTTGCAGGCAAAACAAAACTAAATATATGTTTAAAAAAATAAAAATATTAATATAAATTAATAAAATAAATAATTAAAAAAAAGAAAATAAACTTTCTCCTTTCTCTGCAGCCTTCGGTGCTCGCGCCCATCGGGCCGGGTACAGAATTCAGGTGTATGTACACCTCAGCATACACCAGAAAGCGTTGTTTTTTTTGTTTTTTAAATTAATTTTTTGAATTAATTATAAATTAAATTTATTTTTAAAAATATTTCTCGCGTTTTACTGCTGTCTAGCGGCGGCGGAGCCTTCTGTGGCTTCCATGCTGAGAGCACTGCAGCCCCGTTCGGGTGTATATGCAGCTCGTTGTTAGTTGGTTTTGAGTTGTGTTTTTTTTTGTTTAAATATATATTTATGAATTTAATTTATAAAATTAACCGTGAAAACATAAAAAAAAACACAAAACCATCGCTCATTCAGCTGCAACCCCCGCCCCACTCGATACAGCATCGATCGTATTGCTGAGCTGTACATACACCGCAAACCCTCAAAAGAAATGAACTTCGTCAGGCTCTCCACCCGGGTTAGAGGGGGCCCTCGTGTGGCTGCTCGTGTCGGGTTCAGGGGGCCTCGCAACCCCTGCAGCAGCAGCAGCAGCAGCAGCAGCAGCAGCAGCACAACCAGCTCCTTTGGAGGCGCACTCTGCCTTCCGCGGAACCCTAAAACCCTAAACCATCAAACCCTAAACCCTCAAACCCTAAACCCTAGAACCACTGGAAATTCTTCTTTATGCTGTTCTCCTCTGCGGGGGCTCGTGGGGGTTCAGCTCCCCTTCAACGGTGCAGCAGCAGCAGCAGCAGCAGCAGCAGCTGCTGCTGCTGCTGCTGCTCCTAGTCCAGCAGCGCTTCGTTTTCTCACGAGCAGCAGCCGCAACAACAGCAGCAACCCTGCTGCAGGCAGCAGCAGCAGCAGCAGCAGCGACGCAGCAGCAGCAGCAGATACAGACGAAGGCAGCGGTGTTACAGCAGGCAGCAGAGATGCAAAAGAATTAGGCGAAGCAGCAGGAGAAGGTGATGAAGAAATAAATGATATACAACAAGTAGGGTTTAGGGTTTAGGGTTTAGGGTTTAGGGTTTGGTGGTTTGCGGTGTATGTGTTGAATGGCATGAATAGAAGGACTTGTAGTTGTTCGGTTTTTAGGGTTTAGGGTTTAGGGTTTAGGGTTTATAGTTTTCTGTTTAGGGTTTAGTGTTTCTGGTTTGTACATTTCATATGTATTATATAAAGGTTTACGTTCAAGGGTTTAGAGTTAATTAATAAACGAATATCCCGGTGTCGAGGGTTTAGGGTTTAGGGTTTAGGGTTTAGGGTTTGCGTGCAGCTGAGAGCCGATGTGGCTGCAGCAAAGGAGACAGCGAAAAAAGCAGAAGAAAATAACGCAGAGCTCAAAGACAAACTGCTGCGGTGTTTGGCGGAGCAAGAGAACGCCAGGGTTCGGTACTCGAGAGAGGTATCGTAAACCCTAAACCCTCGTAAACCCTCGTAAACCCTCGTAAACCCTCGTAAACCCTTGGAAACCTTGTAAACCCTTGTAAACCCTTGGAAACCCTTGTAAACCCTTGGAAACCCTTGGAAACCTTGTGAACCCTCGTAAACCCTCGTAAACCCTTGTAAACCCTCGTAAACCCTTGTAAAATTTGTAAACCCTTGTAAACCCTTGTAAACCCTTGTAAACCCTTACACGTAAACTTGGGGGGGTCACAATGCATGCATATGCGAAGCTAAAGCCTTAATGTACAAACCCTAAACCCTTTCATATGCAAGCCCTAAACCCTTAAACACAAACCCTAAAACCCTAGAAATAAACCCTAAACCCTTACGTGTAAACCCTAAACCACCAAACCGGATGTATTGAAAAGTAATAAATAAACGGCAGCAAACAATATCTGTATTGGTCTCAAGGCCCAGCTGCTTTAGGGTTTAGGGTTTAGGGTTTAGGGTTTAGGGTTTAGGGTTTGGGTGTTTAGGTTGCTTCGGCGCGGGAGTATGCCATATCAGGGTTTGCAATGGCCCTCTTAGATGTCGGTGATTCTCTCAGCAACGCGAAGCAGCAGCTGCAGCAGCAGCTAGAAAAGCTGCAGCAGCAGCAGCAGCAGCAGCAGCAGCAGCAGCAGCAGCAGCAGCAGCAGCAGCAGATTGGTGTTGAGCAGCTGAAGCAGTTCGTTGATGGCATATCTATGACCGATAGTCTCTTTCACAAAACCCTCGAAAGATTCGGGGTGCAGCCGTATGATTCGGTAGGGTTTAGGGTTTAGGGTTTAGGGTTTAGGGTTTAGGGTTTAGGGTTTGTGGGCTCTGTGCGGGTTGCTGCTGCTAAGCCGTTTCTATGCAGCAGCGAGACAAATTGTTTACATCTGTTGCTTTTCTTTTTAATGTATACTTTTTGGGGTTGAGAGCTGGGGTTTAGGGTTTAGGGTTTAGGGTTTAGAGTCTAGGGTTTAGGGTTTAGGGTTTAGGGTTTAGGGTTTAGTGTTTGCAGATGGGGGAGAAATTCGACCCAACTCTTCACGAGGCTCTCTTTGAAATGGACGGACCCAGCGATGTGCGCAAACCCTAAACCCTAAACCCTAAACCCTAAACCCTACCTTAAACCCTAAACCCTACCATAAACCCTAAACCCTAGACCCTGAATTAAACCCTAAACCCTCAAGGATAATATCAGTGTTAGAAGGGGGTGTCAGTGACCTCAGCTTCTCTATGAGTCGTTTCATCAGGGTTTTGTATTTAGGGTTTAGGGTTTAGGGTTTAGGGTTTAGGGTTTAGGGTTTAGGGTTTAGGGTTTAGGGTTTTGTGTGTTGCTTCAGAAGAAGGGGAAGGTCGCGCAGGTGGTGCAGAGAGGATACAAAATAAAAGATAGGGTTTTGAGAGCAGCAAAGGTTGGCGTCGTCAAACCCTAATTTAGGGTTTAGGGTTTAGGGTTTAGGGCTCCTGTAAACGTACAAACGCTGCAACAGCAACAGCAACAGGAGCAGCAGCAGCAGCAGCAGCAGCAGCAGCAATAGCAGCAGCTGTAGGGAACACGCGAGTGCTGAGCCCACTTACTAAGACAACATAATATTATTTCTGCATGCATGCATGCATGCGTGCATGCATGCATGCATGCATGCATGCACGCATGCATGCA